GTCAACAATTATAAATGATAATTTATTGAATTTTGGCAAGCAGAGCATTGGTTCTTTTAAGTCCCTGTCGCCATAGACGGTACCTATTTTTGATGCCAATTATATCTTTATTATTCATTGAAATCCACCTGCTCATGTTTCTATAAAACAGGCATTGGTTGCTGTAAATTTCACAAATTCTTATGTTTCTTATCAAGTTTTACAGCAGCTTAAATGAAGCGTTTATTTCCGCTCTAGTGTACTGATTGTTTACTATTCATTCTTAATGCAGTGTCATGAAAAGCCATTGTTTTCCAGCTTCTCACAATGAAAAAATAAGATGAAAAGTGGTCACATTAACCGATATAAATTCAAGATTTAGTCATGAGAGAGTCAAACTTAATGTCATATGATATCTATGTTGTATGCCATAGAGTTCAGGACATTATTGAACAGCCCTCGTAAAGTTATCACCTTTATCATGGAGCTTGGTTTTTAGATTACCATTAACGCCTTTTTCAAATAAAATATCCAATTATGAAACAGATGTGTTAGACTTTGTGGTATATTTTATCCCAAGCTCACTAGGATATATCGTATCGACATAAGAATGGAAATTACCATTGTTAATTGACAATACGTCGTCGATATATCTAAATGTCGAGTTGAAGGCCACAGCAAGTATTTTCTTCGTTTTGTGAACAAGATTTTGGAAAAAATTCTGCTTCATATGGATACAAAAATAGTGAGGAGTAAAGAAAGAGACTTAGTTGAGCATTTACTGGAACCCGCTATGTATCTTTGTTTGTAAGTAGTCTTATAAAGTTTCGGAATCCAATATAGATATTGTAGTTCAAATTTATTTTTGGTTCTTTGGGATCTTAAAAATATTCAGAACTGACATATGATTTTGAAGAATTTCTTCTTTAGAAAGGGAACTATGAGTATAAGTTGGATTACCACATGCAGAATAAAATCCTATGTCTTCTAAAATACAATTTATATAATGAGCGTTTCAAATGAAGATAATGTTGTTACCTGCTTTGTCAGCAGGGACCAGTACATTCTGATCATGTGATTTTTCACTTCTGGATTGTTGAATACAGAAGGATAGATGGTTTTCATAAATCAAAATTCTACTCAATCCTTTAATACGCGATCGTAACATAAATGCGATACATTTAATCCGTTCTGAAAGAGCTACTTCTTTTTTTATATCTGGCACATCGCCTAGCGTACTCATCTATAGAATCCATAATACCGTATTTATGAAATTACGACGCCCGTTGAAGTATGGGGGTTCCTTGAATTTAGGACCTTTAATAAGAATTGAAATGTTGTCTTCATTAAAAATTCAATTAAAATAATGGACTTTTCGAAAAAAAAAAAAAGAAAATAAAATTGTTATTGACTGGAACCAGAACCCATTGTTCTTTTTCATATCTAAATCACTGGAGACTAAAGGATAGATGAATTTTATACTGCCCCTCAAATGCTTTATGGAAGACTGCGTGAATTTGTATTATTAATCCATTCTGACAAAGTATCAGTGTCCACTTTTTTTATGTTTTGCTCATTATTGGCTGATATAATCTTCAACAGATTTCATAATATTTGTGAAATTATGACCCGTTGAAATATTGTGTTTCTCTTAATTTTGACCCTTTTAGAATAATTGCTATAAAGTCTTCATAATAAACTGTAATTTAAGACACAGGTAATGAAGTGTCTAGCAAAACTTTAGTTGTAGTGTGAAGAAAATCATAAATGCATTGGAGGATTATATATATATTCCATCAAAGTTGAATGTTGACTGATGTTTTCATATAAATTCATTGTCTGTTATTATTTTTATTCTGAATTGTCTCCGGATTATTAAGAAATAATAATCAGATCCTTGTGAAAACTAAGAGCTTTGTAATTAACCAAATAAAATTTATATGTTTAATAATAAATTATTATTTATGCTGCTTAAAAAATTGTTCAAGAATACCGCTCTGTCATGGAACAATACAAGAAGAAATAGACAGCAACGCAACCAATACTCTTGTTGTAGTGTCTTGAAAAGTACTTGAAATCAAATGTGGGTCTCAATTCTCTTTCCTTTTGATTTATTAGAAGCAGTTTCAAGGAATTGTGGTCCCCCGCTTTCGGTGTCTTTGTGGGTGAGATGTCATTTTTTATGACATATTGTGTGTAATATGAACACCCTATCATAATTCATTATACCCCCCGCTTGAAAAGTGGGAGGGTTTATAGTAATCGGTATGTCCGCCCGTCCGTCTGTCTGTCTGTACGTCCATCCGTCCGTCCGTCCGTCCGTCCGTCTGTTACGCTTTTGGGTACCCATCTCTTATCCGCAACTCCTCTCATACCACTCAATGAAATTTGGTGAAACTTTCACAGAATCTTTATTACATATTGCCATTATGCACCTCCTATTTTACTTTTTGATCCGACACACATTTTGGGTTTCCCATAGTGAAACATGGACACTGCCATTTATACACATATGAGCGGTATCATTAAGTGAGCTCATTGCTCACAGTGCCTTTAGTTTATTTAGAAATCATCACTGAACTCCAAGGTCAAGGTCAAAGGGTAAAGGTTCTTGGTATCCAATGAAAAGTCTTCTAACTATGATTACATATGTGAAGTATGAGAGCCCTACCATTCAAAAGTTATGGTCAAGGTTAAAGTTTTTTTATAAGTACGAAAAATCTCCAAGGTCAAGGTCCAAAGGTCAAGGTTTTTGACATCAAATGAAAGGTCTTGCCACAAAGAATATATATGTGAAACATAAAAGTTCTAGTCTCTCCTGCTCAAAAGTCGTGGCCAAGGTAAAAGTTTTTGAAGAAGTAGGTCAAACTCCAATTTCAAGGTCAAAGGGTCAAAGTTCTTGAAATCCAATGAAAGGTCTTCTCACAAGAATTATATATTTGAAGTATGAAAGCCCTATAGCTCTTACCGTTCAAAAGTTATAGTCAAGGTTAGAGTTTTTTCATAAGTACAGAAATCTCCAAGGTCAAGGTCAAAAGGTCAAAGTTGTTGGTATCCAGTGAAAGGACTTGTCACAAAGAATAGATATGTGAAATATGAAAGTCCTAGTATTGACCATTTAAAAGTAATTGCCAAAGTAAAAGTTTGGAATTTTTGTGTAAAAGTGTGTCAAACTCCAAGGTCAAGGTCAAAAGGTCAAATTTGGTGGTACCCAAAGAAAGGTCTTATCACAAGGAATACACATATGAAATATTAAAGTCATAGTTCCACTAAATCAAAAGTTATGGCAATGTTAAAGTTTTTGTGACGGACAGACTGGCAGACGGACAGACGGACAGACGAATGAGATTTAACGTCCGCTCGCTTTCGCGAAAGCGGGGGGCAATTAATAGATCATAATAGATTCATAATATTCACTCCATCATTATGTGGTATGCTGCGCTTACGAGTAGTCTCCCATTCGATGGCTGACAAGGACTTTAGGACATTTAAGCAGAAAATAAAATGAAAAGTTAATTACTTAATGTTAGTTGGTTTTTTTATCATAAGGTTTTCTAAGAAAGAAAGAATATAAAAGGTTCATTACAGTCTGTCCACGGTAATGTTGTGTCTTGTTAAGGTACACGAATGAGGATTTTTATTATTATTAAGGTCTTCTGTTTCCAACGGAAGACCTTCTACTGATTCTGTTGTTTCTTTTCCACTATTATTATAATTTTTATACCCCCCGCTTGAAAAGTGGGGGTATATTTTTTTTCTTCCGTCCGTCCGTCTGTACGTCCGTCCGTCCGTCTGTTACGCTTTGGGGTACCCATCTCTTATCCGCAACTCCTCTCATACCACTGAATAAAATTTGATGAAACTTTCACAGAATCTTTATTACATGTTGCCATTGTGCACCTCCTATTTTACTTTTTGATCCGACACATATTTTGGGTTTCCCGGCCACAGGAAAACATGGACTTTTTCACCAGTTATAACCATATGGGAGGCGGGGGGTATCATTTAGTGAGCTCATCGCTCACAGTACCTCTAGTTTTTTCTTACCGATTTTGTGCAGACGATTTCTCGAGAACGCCTCAACAGTTTTTCATGAAACTTTCAGCAATGATAAGAAACTATTTGAACTTCATGCGTTTTTTTTTTATTTTGCCATCGTCACTTCCGGTCGCGAGATATAGCCATTTTTCTGTTTTTAAAGTGTCATTTTGTCCGAGAGTGTTCTCGAAAACGGTTGGAGATTGAGTCCTGAAACTTTCAGGGATGATAGATTATGACTCCTAGATTTGAGAAGGATATAAAGTTTTTGTTGCCGTCGCGTCCGTCGTTCACCGGAAGTAATTTAAAAATAGGCAAAATTTTATTTTTTTCTTTTTTAAATGTTTCTTATGGAGGCAAATAAAATGTCTCGAGTAATATTATGTCCACCGGAAGTTTTTTTTTCCAAACCGATAGTAGTCCAAAAAAAGAGCAATTTTCCTCGAAATTATCAGGGATGGTTCCTTCACACTCAGAGAGGAGTTAAAGGTCATTTTAAGTACTTCCGGTCACACCGGAAGTGAATTATAAAGACCGGAAGTTGTTTGAAATTGATAGATTTCACTCTTAAATGTGTTCTCACGTATTTTGAATAATTGATCTGAACACTTTTTTTCATTTAAAGTTGTTTTATAACCTTATCAAAAATCGAACGGAAGACCTACTCGTTGCTCGCAACGAGATCTCATCTAGTTATTATTATTGGATTTAATCTTATATCTGTAAATGGATACGAACCTATGCAGGAATTTTTTATGGGGCATCTTTGGTATGTTCTCTAGGCATTTGTATTCTTTGCTTCTTTTTCCTTCTATCTCTTAATATCCCTGACATTTGCTTATTATTGTTATCATTATTAGCATGTTTTTTAAAGATTTTTATTCATTAAAAAATGTTTTTAAACTTTTATTTCTCAACGCCTTTTGTGAAAGTAATATTATGAGGTTAATTCTTTTATATTGAAAAAAAAAATAACAGAAATATCATTATTTGAATGTTTATTAAAGCATATCATTTGACTTACATGTATTTAATTCATTGTTGGAATCAAGAAAAAATATAACAATAAAATACGGAAAAAACTGATTAAGACAGTGATGACAAACAGTTTATTCTGAAGATGAGTGAACATTTCAGGTAAGTAAATCACATTCGACATACAAGAACAGGCACAGGTGAGTGGTGTATGACGTAATCACTCACGCTACCAAGCACAGTCCGACGAATCTTTCCCAGTCCTCTCGTGCCTGTGATTATCATTGTAGCATTCTCTTCTTTTGCTATTTTTATGATAGCCTCCCCTGGTTTTCCTGCGCCAGTGCGAAACTTCCCATCAATCTATTAAAATAAAATGGCCAAGTATAAATCCTCGACAAAAATGTTTTGTTTCAAAGGCGGTCTACCTCTGCGAATTTTTAGAGATGATGTATGCTTTTCCATTGCCATTCAACGTTTCAGATTAGTTGAATCATTTATTTTACTTTACTGATACCAAATTATGGTTAAGACATGACTATTGAAAGTGATGCATGCTATTTTACTAATATTTAATTCCAAATATTTAGGAAATTTGAAAACTCATGATGTTTCGGACTCCTTAAATTTAATTTCAATTTAACATATTTTAGTCTTACATGCAGCTAGATTTTGCATTTCTTTTTAAATATGTGTATCTGTTAATGTTATTAATATCATTTACTTGCAACGACACTGATGAATGTGCGCATTGTTTAAGTATGTAAATGTTTGCAGTCTATATTCGAGAGGAAGGAAATTGTAGTTTCGCACAAAACTTAACTAGGTGATATCAACTTTTGAAATACACTTTTACTAATCCACAAACTGATGATAGTTTCCTTATTTTGATAGGTAGTAGATTCAAGTGGAGTTAGATTATCAGGTATCTCCAATTAACAATTTCAAATAGATTATATCACTAAATGGCAGAGTATACAGAAACAAACCCTAAAAGAATGTAATTTTTTCCGATATCAATCGGAAGGAAAATAGTAATGAAACCATACATTAACTTAAACAATAAAATTAACATAACGATTTGCAGAAAAAAACAAAAAGTTATGAATGCCTAAATTAATACAGGACATTTTATTGTTTATATTTATATTTGTTTAAATAATCATTTAAAGGGCCTAAAAAGAATTTTTGCCTTCATACGTTTCAACAATGATCAAGAAATCTGTACAGGCGACTTGCCTACTGTAGTTCATGAGGTGATTAACGCAATGGTTTTTCTTAAGAAATAAAGGAGAAAATATTCAGCGGATGTAAATATATCGATTTAAACAAAAAAACCTAAAATATACAGGAATGACGTTTTACATGGGCCTAAATTTTTCCTTCAAAATGGCTGATGTTCCTTTCCTTCAGGTTACCGCTTTAATTAATTTAAAGAAGACGCTGTAAAGATATGCACATTTACTTGCTACTTTATTAAGATTTTTTCCGTGCTGAATGTGACAAAGCCATGTTTTTGTTTTTTTTTTGCTTAATAATCATTACCAGACAAGGACGAAAGAAAAAGATCTTGATTTTCGTCCTGAATGTTCTTAGCTGAATGTCAAAGTGATTGTTGACAACATCACGAATGAATCCATTACCGATCAGTATAATGTTGAAATCAACGAACGAGCTAACCATGAAATGACTGATGATGTCAATCCTGTTCATTTCTAATTTGTGAAGCTTATGAAAGGTTTGATATCTGGCATTGAGGGGATTGTAAATAGCAATTAGCTGAGATTTGTCTGTTTTCAGTTGATGTTTGTCAAACTATCAGATTGTTATGGTCTTATGGAGGACATGAAACATTTTCTATAAAGAGCTACATGTACATTGTTTCTGATATTTTAGAGAAATATGAAGTGAGTTCTTACAGTTACTTTTAAAAAGACTATATGTGTACAGACACATACAAATTTAGTAATGCATATCACTTACCCCGTAAGCCTTGACTTTTTCAGCGAATTTATCCTCTAATGCCTTCACGCTTTTCTCTAATTCATCCAAGAGTTGTCTCATAACACCTGGACCTAAATGTAAAATAAAACAAAAAAAATAATAGATCGATATGTGTTGATCTTTCAAAGCAGGAACGTAAACGACCATTTGGATCATTGATAAAGAAGCTATTTCACATTTCTTTAAATTCTGCAAATGAATTGCCACTTTTATGTTAACCTAATCAGAATGATGAATGATATATCTCTTTCAAATCTTTACGTTTCTTTTTAAAAACTTTTTCAGTTTTACATCTTTTTCTTAAGCATATATAACATGCCGTTAAATTTCAAGAATTAATCACGATGACTGAAAAAATGGATTCATTATACTTTCTAAAATAAAAGTGTGATAAGTTTCAACCATGAAACTAATACAGCGATAAGATAATGATGATCATCCAGCTGTCAGCAAAATGCAGAAAGCATGTTAAAGTGCTGTTATCTTCTAAAATTAGCTTTACATTAAAACTGCATTTCATGTTAGTTATCAGACACGTTAATGCATCATAATGAGGCTTTGTTAGGAACAACAGAGTAAAGGATGACTGCACTTAACGCTGTGTTTTGGGTCTTTTTCGGTCACTTCTGTTGCTTTTAAATCTTGACCTAAGTTCAATTTTATATATTTCCTACAAATGTCTGTCAATTAGACACCCAATTTAAATGTTAAGAATGATTTTATACTGTAATGTAATAACTATTTTCACGTTTTTTGTCCTTATGGTTTTCCAAATACAGATCATTTTCACTTACCTGCCCTTAATTGTACATTATGTATGTATGAGAGGCAGAGCTAACATATCATAAGAATGGAACTGAAATTAGATTGATGAATAACAATGACTTGTATTTAAAAATACGAGATCTCTATTTTTCATCTTCCTATTTATTCTGCATGGCACAAGTACATTATTTACATAAGCTTTTCAAAGTATGAGCCATCCATGTAAGTAAAAAATATTTTAAATCGATGACTGACTATTTAACGTGTTCGATCACTGTGTCCTAATTAACACAAACATGCTACCAATAAGTCACGTGACGGAATTTTGTATTCACAAAACTACCTGAGGAAAGATATCACGTGGTGAATTACAATATTCAACGTGTCGCGGCCCTTGGTTACAACAGAGGGAGCGAGAAAAAAGAAGCATTTTTTTTCTCTTTTAAACCATGAGCGCATGTTTGTCTATCAATCTCCTTTTAACACAACATTATTTATGCAAATATACAACTACTGTTAAAAGGAGAAAAATAAAACATGTGCTGCATTAAAGTCAGTAAAAAATGTTCACTATCGTACGGAAATTGAATAAATTGAGATGACCCCCGCCTTAGAAAACAGATTCATACACCGAAGAGACAAACTTTTATTTATTGTAATTAAGTAAAGTTGTAGATTAGATGTTGATCATTCCTGCAATTAAAAGAAAGATGTATGTTTTGAATGTTTACTTTGACGTAAATTTCGCAAATCCTTGAGTGCAGTCATCCTTTGTCTAGCTTATTAATGACAGGCAAATTAAAAAAAACAAGTTACTAGTATACATTTTCATTGGATACCTAAAATTCATATTTGTCATCTTGTATGTTTTTGCTAAATGAAAACAAAACAGGATGAAGTTATCATCTGTGTCTAGCTATTGTCACGAAATTTCTAAGTATTGTTGAATGATTATTTCATGTAGCTACCCTAACTGACTTCTACAAAATATTTGGAATATGTTCGGTGTACTTATATAATGGTCATGGAAACAAAAATTTCACAGATCTTTTGATTTTCCTTTAATTTTTTTTTCTGTTTAAATAGATCAAACCGCATGTAAATCTCCGGTAGGTTCTGCTGGCTTACATTTCCAGATTGACTGACATGCATGGCCCAAACTCACGACTGACATGAAAACAAATTCACTGGGCAAATAATGTAAAAAAAAAAATACATATATATTGTGCTCATGTGAAAAAGAAATGCATCAAATTAATGACGTCATATTTCCAGAATGGTATTCCTTTATGTCATTTTCTTTTCTGATCTATTACAGTCATGAACTCGATTAATATTTAAGCCATTTTCAAAACTCTTTGAAAACCTTGAATTTTTAGGGCACGATAAAGCTAAAACCATACCTTGTTCTTTGTCATAACAAGAATAGATATGGGTTACCCCATATCCAAAGATATTCGACTGTTAGATTTAATATGTTTAACAGTGTTTATAATGACGTTAATAAAAAAAAACTGCACTGTCTAATTATGGAACTGTTGTAAATATTGAAGGAAATTGGTCACCCAGTTCCTAACAAACAGTACACATAGGCCTACATGTACCTGTGTCCGCAAGACCAAATTTAGCCTTGGTCTACACACGTGCAATGACTGTTAGCAATTCATTTTTTAAAAAATCCAACAAATATAATCATATAAATGAATTCTGATTAATAAAAATTATACAATCCCTTTGAACTTTATATACAATATTTGCATCTGCAACAACTTGTGTTTTTTTATTCTAAACTGAAAAATGAAAACCTTTTTTGTTTTGAAAATAACTGAAATATATAATATATTTGTCGCAGAAATTACTTTTATTCAAGTTCTATATATAATGGTATGCTGAACTTCAACACGAAAAATCAAACAAATTATTTTTGCCACACATACCCTACAGTTTACAAAGTGTACACAAATGCTAATTGAAAATTCCCTCATTTAATAATACACACACACAGAATGATTAATTGTTTCTTTAAGAACAAATTGTATGATAATTAACGGACTATAAAAAGTAATACAATTGTTGATATAGTATTATCAATTCATTTGAAAATTATGAATCGAAGAATGACCTAATTATTCTCTGTTATCAAACACGTAAAAAAAAAAGCTAAAGTGAATATTGATATTTTTTATTTGCATTTCGGGGGGAAAGTGACTTTTTTTGAAGGAATTTTTGATTTCTTGAAATGACATACACAACATTTATCATGAACAATAATGTTGTATCTACTTATCATGATGGAATTAGTAGAGAATGTGTGAGCTGCCGCTGAATACAGTTATATATCTTGCAAAGATAGTATGCATTGATCGAATATATAGATAATGACCAATGGATTAACGAAATGTTGGTCTTAACCGGAGTTGTTGAAATTTCCGTAACCTTAACTTATCTGCTAGTAGTTTGCAGCGGTTTAAGAATTAATCGTACTCACTTTATGCTTTAAAATAGTATTTGAGAGAAAACTTTATGAAAAATTGATTATTTTTAGAAAAGCTTTAGTCATGTAATAAGTTAGCTAAAACCATACCTTGTTCTAATATTGTCATAATAATGATTAATGTCAAGTGGAAAGCCTTCTCTCGGGGAAATGAATGTAATAACTGCTTTGTAGTTTCTCCAAAAAAAAAAAATCGGTAAGTAAAGGATCCCTCTATTGATCAATATTTTTAAGCTTGTCATTTAACACTTAAAATATTGCTGCATTATTTCATGATGTTACTTAAGGTAGGATTCTTCTCATATTTCTAATATTTAAAAATTAATGAAATTTTCATAGAATCAAGAAGACAATATCAGTAAGTGATATTATCAGTGAAATTAAATTTGACCGTTTTATATTAGAGGTCAAGGTCATTATCTTTTTCCTTGACATTTAGAATAAAAAAATAACTGTTGCCAATCATGTGATACCTACTTCTATTTCAAAAGTTTAATGATTGTTCTTTTTGCATAAAAAACATATTACTATATCGGGTCTATAGCATGATATTACCAAATTTACATAAATAATTTAACTTAACTGGATATTAGCTAATCCGAATTTTCTATGTTTTTCTTAATATTTCAAGATATATTAGTTATTTTCATATGCTTCCTATATTTAACTTTTTCTTCTTTTCACATATAATAAAGTAGTCTTATAAATGTACAAAATGATACAAAAACAAAAAGTTTTGATCGTTTACTAAGAGAGAAAAAATACTTTTTATAGATTTTTGGCTCAAATCTGCACTTTGATAGGAAGCGTTTAAAAGCTAATAAAGTTCTAGTTTGTTTGAGAAATCATATTTATTTGATATATTTTGAAAGTTTAGTCCCTCTTTATTAGTCTAACTTACATTTGAAAATTTCTCCAAGACTTCGATTGTGTAAAAACTATAACTAAATTCGTAGTTCTATAATAATTTTGAGAAGCAGAAAAGAAGATATTTTCATACGCCACCATTCCGCCAAAAATATCCCTGCTAGTTTTCAAAAACAATTTACCATTTCTATTTAAAGTTGTACAATTGTGATGAGGAAAGAAAAATATGGTCTTTTAAATTCCTTACACCTCAATATATAAGACATATAAGCAAATATACTTTGAATGTTTCATCTAGTCAGAAACCAGAGAAGGATCCTACCTTAAGTGTTCAGGTTATATTATTTCAAGTTTGTTGTTTCTTTTTTCAGAGAAAAATAAACAGTTCAAGTACAATTTAATTATAAAAGTACTTTAAAGGTTAGATGCATTCTAGAATAAAGAGAAAAAAATCTTTGAATTAGTTATCTAAAATATTCCAGCAATGTTGCAAGGTTGTATCTCAAACATTGATTTATTACTGCGACTAATCTGTAACCAAATTTGCTCTACAGAAATCAGGACAATGTTATAGCTCTCATGAGAGACGACAAATCATATGATCTCGCAAATACAGCTCTCAGCTCGGTGTCATTTGTGTTGTGTAATTGAATTCAAGGCAGATTACTGCAATCGTATGCTCAACAACAGTTTAATTTGTTTTGGTTTAAAATATATTGCAATCAGTTTTCCGTGACACATTTTAGTAAAGAAAATTGAAAGATTCAAGTTTGATTTTGAATTTAAAAAAAAAAAAAGTTTTATTCCTCCTTTAAAAAAAAACACTTTTATCATAGCAATTGAAACTTTTGATCATCATGCGTTGTGAGTGGTTTGTAAACCATTTACGTCTTTTGGAATATAAAGCCTAAACATAACATGAATATCTCATTGAATACACTTTTACTTATTGTGCTATAAGGCTAAGGACTCTATCGAAACATTTTTAAATCCTAGTTATCAGATACTTACAGATAGTTCAACACATAACATTTCTTCCTTACAACTCTTCTAATATCTTTTCTATTTTATTTCTAATTGTAAAATCATGCTCATATTTGTAATAAAATAAAAATGCAGATACATACTTGGTATTGTGAAATCGAACGCTTCCTTCTGAAGAGTCACGGGCGACCACTCTCCTACGACGCAAATACTTTGATTCAGATACTTTGTGATTCTTTAGGAAGTATTTCTTTGTTGATTTTGTCAATTCATGAATGATATTTAGCTCAATATGCACAAGTTAAATCATTGATAGAATTACCTTTGATTTTCTTTATGCATACAAATCTAGCATAGTTAATTTTCATGATTTTTTTTTGTTGTGACGTAAAACAAAATGTGATTTAAATTGAAATTGTGATTACAGTTGTTTTGTGAATGCAAAGGAGGTGGTTTTGAATTGCATTGCAAAGAGAGAAAAATATAAATAGGAAGAACAGAAATTGATCTTTTAAGTCTATTTAAACAATATACACAAAGCAAACGCAGACCTCTTACAACATGGGCGTTGTTATAAGTTGCCATGAAGGAGTAAGAATCCTATGTTTACAGGTCACACCCGCCGTTTGCTCTTTGCCATGATCAGACAAGTGGAAAAATCTTGCAGAGATGCCACTACATTGACAACAAATACTGACTCTAGACTGTTGATATTTTTGTTCAATCAACGTATTTGTTTGAACTCTCCTTGTTTGTAAAATATACAAAATGTCCCTAAGAAAAGAATGCTCTTGCGCATATACATGTATACCAACTGGGACTCATAAATTCTATATAGAGGTTATTATGGTAAACTGCTACGTAAACAAAGGAAGCTGATGATAAGAAAGTTTAAGTCACCACGCCCATTCCCAACCCGTGTCCCCAGACCACTATCAAGTCTTTCTCCAAAAACAACAACGACCAAAAAGAATCATAACACGAACCAGATGTGTCAGAATTAGCACGTGTCAGAATTAGCACGTGTCAGAATTAAGATAGGAATGAAAATGAATATTCTTTATAGATAAAACATCGTCGATTTATCTTAATTTTGTATTGAGTGTCAGAGCAAAATTTTCTTCTTTTTGATTTAGAAGTTGTTAGATAAATTACATGTATCATCTATTTGAATACAAAACTACGTATGCTAATAACAGGGCGCAGTAAGTACACATTGGAGTCTCGGCAGATTGTTGGAAGGCTTGATATCCAAAAACTACATCGAAATATATGAAGATATCTAACAGTATTCAAGTTCAAAAGTTCATAATACAATTCAAAATAGGCGCAGAGCAAACACAGACCTCCAAAACATCAGAGGTGGGATAAGGTGCCATAGATGAGCCAGCATCCCCTGCAGACTGGTCACATCCGCCATGTGCTCTTTGTCTTGATTAGGAAATAAGGGGGAAATCCATCAATTCAGTGTGTTAATAATGTTAAATATTACCTAAGAGTACGTGTGTATGAAATCAAAGTGATAAGTGTGAGTGATGGAAATGATAAGAGATAAGTGCCAAAAGATTGTAAAGGTGCACGATTTAGAATGAGAAGAATAAGGTGTTATAGTGCAATAGCTTATTAGACCCATTACTTATTTCGTACACATAATTTGTCCTTAAAACAGTCAGTTAGCAACACGACTTTTTATTCTCCAATTCTGAATTTAAAAACTAGTCTGACAGAAAGATTTAATTTTTATAATTTATAAAGAAGAGTAGAAAAAAATATGGAGACAATCTTGTACTTGAAATTGGCAAATAATTCTCAGTAGAATAAGAAACAATATGCACATTTCAATATAAGAAAAAAACAATGGGAATAATTATTAACTTCAGAGCATCCGATACAAAAATATTGATTTTAATTTATTTAGCATGATCAAAATTTCATAACAATATTGTTTTAGATTTATTCAAATCGAATATTACCTTTAATTTTTCAAATCCATTTACCAATTACTAATGAATAAAATATTTCTTCTTATTAAAACTTTTATTTTCAGATGATTAATATTTTTTTGTTCGTACGCAAGGAATAGAAGATTAACGGTGTATGGTTTTGTATCTGCATGTAAATGTTCGAAAATGAATGTGTATTTTTAAACTTGGTAATACGCACATATTGAAGCAAATGTTATTTTTATTGCAAAATACGAGAGAGTTTTCTAAGTACAAAATAAGTTTTCTGAATGTTCATATTATATTTTTACTAATATAATTTGTTTGGCTTTATTGACAACATTCCGTTCTTTTGTTGCTTTATTGGTTAGGTTTACATCTAGGCATTGCTATTGAAGAAGGAACACACAATTACAACGTTGGGAATTACACAAAATTGAAAATGCAGTGAAATATTTGCACATTGTATATAAATACTAGTATATCTATAGGAATACTAAAATCGGTGTGAGGAAGAATAAAAAAGAGAAAAGAGTACAGTGTTTTCCATATGTAGGAAAATTATGAAAGCATTAATACTCACTAGCCAAAGAAAAGTCATAGGACTCCGGAATGTGAATAAGAACAATGACGTCATCATCTCGTCTTATTTTTTCTAAGTACCCTTCAAGAATAATAATAAATAATAAATTCAAATTTGATAATGTGAAGATTGTAAAAAATTATACTTTTTTTTAAATGTTCAATAAGTACGCGATTTTCATCTGTATGGAGATGAAAAAAATATGTTCAGATAATTCATCAATCAGCCTCTTTCTGTCCAAAATGAAAGTCACCGTCATCTGCGCTTCTTTATTCATGTGCATGTATCAGAAATATAAATAAATACTTGTATAAGAAAAAGAGCATTTTATTATTCAATTATTAACAAGATCTGTTATAGACTGAAATAATTAATTGTAATTAAAGTCGCAATAAAGGAAAAGCTGGTGATTGAACGTGAAATTGCGTAAAATTAATTGTAAGAAATGCACATTAGTAAGAGGATATCGTAAGCATTCAAACCTTTTTGAAAACGACTAAATTATCAGTAAGAACTCGTAAAAAAAAAACAATTTTAGCCAAACATTAAGAACTGTCACGTAAGCCGTTCTGTAGTTGCAGAGAGTTTGAACACTGAAATGACTTCAGCCCAAATGACTCGATATAGAAAAATATCTCCTATTTTCACATTTTATGAATATTTTTTTATTAAACAAATTTAAAAAAAATTAAATCTTTATATTCATTTTACTTTGTATATACTTATTGCAAGTTGTTTGTATATACAACATTAACGACATGCATATTACACAAATAATAGAATAATCTTTAAGAAGAAATTTTAATACTTGAGGAAACAAAATTTTCTTCCATTCTGAAAAAAACCTTATATCCTCTCATTCTGCAATAAGTACACTGTAAGTGCATAAAAAAACTTGAATGTTAAATTATAGACAAAAGGAACTAGAAACGAACAGACTCTGACCAGAATTCCTAACTTATCTCTTTGGTTCAAATGAAATTCAGGAAGATATGTTCTAAATGCGTTTTTGAATTTTCTTTTATTTCACCCCAAAATAGATGAGTAATTTTCAATTGATATAGCAAGAAGTCTCCATTACAATAAAACTTCCAATAAAACACCGAACTGGAAAGTCTCGGCGCATCATAAAAGCAGATATTGAAGGAACTCAAGATCCCAGTGCGATGTCGGGCAATGGATTTTAGTGCCACCGGAGATTACTGTTCGGAAAATCTACAAAACTAAGCAATCTGATTATCTTTAACTTCGCAATCTCTTGGTACGTGGTTCAATGTTGAAGGAGAGTTTTACATCCTCAATTTTGCGTGCCTAATTAAAAGAAATGCTGGGGATTTTATCGAGAACATATCGCCAGGTTTCCCTTGCTAAAAACTTTATTGATTTAGGTACATCTTCCATACAGAAAAAGGTTAAAAATGTGACGTTTTATGCATGGAACTAGGTTTTTACTACCTATTGGATATCATTACTTTTAGAAAATCTTAATTTATTCACATTTTCTATGACAGTTAATAATTGTTCAAATTTTTATTAATGTTGTTGATTTTTAAGACACGATAAAGAAGCTCTGTGTGTGTTTCTTAGTGCATGATGTAAATATAAATGTATCTTTGACGTGTTATCTTAATAAGATTAGGGATATATCTACATTAAACAGCATGCACCACGTGTCAAGGTTCGTCGAAAACTTAAAACGATCTACAAATTTTACATTTTAGCTTACTATTTCTGAGAATTTTTATACATCGGTTTTTTGTAAATGAGTATACATTAAATAAATCAATTAAATAATGATAATAAATCAATAATGAAAATATATGTACTTACAATCAAAAGCTTTTTCTGCATAATCACTATTATCTATAGCAATAGCAACAACCCGAGGCTGTCTTCCGTCTTTATCCTCAGTTGCCATTGTCAATATTCCTTACTTCTCCACAGAAAGACTTTCCTGTCAAGAATAAAAGACACTCTTCAAATGAAGTTAATCAGAGAACTGGGACTACTTGTTTGCTGATGGTTCCTTGAAAAATTGTAATCTTAGATGTCCGTTACAGCAAGTTCTTGATGCGAAAGTGAAAACCTTCACACATTGATTTTTTTCCCTCAGAAACATTTAAAGACGCAGAATTAATGCAAAGAGAAACGCCAAAAGTCAATTAATAGTTGAGTGTCCTATCTTCATTACCATCTTTTGCAATTAGGAGCAATTCTTCAGCAATCCTACTGGAGAGTAAGCTGACTTTTTAGTCGTGCCTACCAAAAAGCCATTTTTAACCATTCGATACATTTTCCTTATCAGTACATATTACAGACCTACCTATAAAAGCAGATATGTTCTGCTATATGTCCTCATTTAACATAGGATCTGACAACAAGGCCATCCGTTTTAAGCATCCAAACACTGAAGAATAATGTATTATTAATAAAGTGCTATGATACGCTTCGTGTTCTTGAGTACATCAGCTACGAATTTATTGATGATTTTTTATCATCGGGATACAAGCAATGTATAGACCCTGCCATAAATTGACTGCCTAATCAATTGATCTCATAATCCATCTGACCTGTTCTGGTGAACAATTGATTCTGACAAGCTGTTTGATTACGAAGTTGTAATTATGACAGAAGTAAACGCTTGTTCGGTGAAATTGATTAAATAAATGAACAAATGGATGAAAGACGTTTTAGTTCATTTTCCGGGTGAGCATCAAGGCAGAGCAGCAGTCTTCATATAGAAACATGTTACGAAATCAGTAACAATACAAGGCAACATTTACAGACAGAACATGTTCAATTCAAAGAACATACATGTATTTCAGAAAACGCAGAGTGAAAGTTTATCCTCTGTCCCAGATTTTTTCCTAGGTACCAGACACCAGTAAATGTAAAACCAAAACAGCATTTTTGTCAAATGTCGATTTGCATTTTGTATTTTTAGTCAATTTGCATAATTTATTATTTTAATGACTTGTGTTTTTACCTTCGGTTTAAAGTCTTTGTAAATTTGTCTATTTTAGTTGTTTTCAATATTCAGCAGAATTTACAAGAACATTTCACTTAGTTTGATTATTAAAGCTGAACACGACTCCTAAACAGACATACTCCATACTCCAATTCGATATTATCATTTACGATATCAACACCTATATACTCTTCGCATTCGTTTCAGCTGAATGCTTTATTGTTACGGGTATCGGCGTTGAATGGCGATCAGTGCTCGTGCTGGCTACTTTACATTACTTTTGTTTATGTTTCATTGCAAACACGTGTACATGTATCTGTGTTTGTTTGTATATTGCACTGACCTGTACAACTATTGTAAGTTTCTCTGGTATTCTTTCTTTCCTACATTAGAAGAAGTATTACAGTTATTTTTGTCGCTACTGAGTGCTGTATAGCATACAGTGTACGTCCATCTACACCAGTGTCGACTGATTACACTGAACAACAACGAGATCAGGTCATTATATAGGGGTCCTCAGATAAAGCGAGCGTCCGATCGAAAATGGCGGACATAATTATTTACGAATCGTTTTCAGATTTAATTTGTAGAAAATTCTATATATTGAAATGCGTAAATGTTTCATCACAGAGTAATCAAATTATTTGTTTTGAGTAAATATGTGTTCAAATTTTCTTTTCTTTTCTTTTTTTTTTTTTTTTTTTTTTTGTAAAGAGAACATTTAAGATTCGAACAGACAAAAGGAATATGATGAAAAATATCTCTTTTATTACAGACAGAATTTAAGCATAGCAAGAATAAATGAAGAACTGCTTTTAACATATTGGCATCGTCCTGCTAGACGTTGACTGATTTTTTTCTTTAAGATGATAGTATCATCGACAGCACATTATTTATGGTGTATCGCCAAATAACATGATTTAAAAGTTACATCATATACAAGGAACAAAACACTTTCAGAACTTCAATCCTTCTCCTTATAGAATGTTTTTTATCATAGATTGATCCCACGAGATAAAACGTTTCATAAAAAAACGAAGAGAAAAACACAAAATGCATTTTCTTTGCTTGTTAAAAGCTGCATTTACGTTTGAAGTGGTTTATTTATAAACGTTACTTGTTGGAGTACCTTTAAAATGAAAACAGAGAGATATTGAAACAAAAGAACATTGTTGTTGCAATAAACTGAAAAACGCATCAAGATTATGTGAGAGACAAATTGCTTTTCTGAAAAGCATTTGTTGTGCATCTGCACTACAGGATAAAAATATTTATGGTTCAATATTCAGAAGGAACAATTCATCAAGCACCATCAATCATCATCGCTGAAAAAGTTGCATCTATCTTTATCCAGTTTGAAATAGCTGTTTACGTCTAGGTTCATGAATAAATTATTTATAGTATTAATACAAGAGCATAATAGTGCAAAACATAAAATGCACATAGTCCTTAACTGCATGCTATGTCTGTAAAAATTACCATTTCAAATGAAATTTTAGATTGTAACAGTGATCATAAATAATTGCTTTGAACATAAAGCATTATTTTGTCTGCTAGTTTCTAAAATGGCTTTTTATGCAATGTGTTATTCGAAATGCAGGAACATAACTTGTAAGCAATTATGCATTCACTGGACATTTTGCTAGACCTACTATGCATCTAGTATTATCTTCTTGTGTTCATTTTCCTATACGTGAATGAAGAAATATTTGAATTGGTATTCCTTTCTTCAACAAGTATTCATATTTAGATGCACCATTGTGTTGATATTATTTCATTCAATCATGGCACATGATCCCACCTCTGATGTTTTGAAGGTCCATGTTTGCTTTGCTCCTATTTTGTATTGTTTAATGGACTTTTCAGCTTGAATATTGTTTGTTATGTGGATCCATATATCATGCAACGTTTTACATATTAAAGCGCCATTTTATCCATGTTTAAACATATTTAGGAAACTCAGCAAATTATTCTTTTAAATTAAACTGTTAAAATTCTAAATAAAAATTTATAGAAAATATTTGTTACACAAATCAAAATTGACCAATGGTGGAGTCCGTGATTATAACAGAGATAGAATACATGTACATGTATATGATTACTAAGACATTAATTTTATCAATTGTTTAAACAATTATATACTAGTATTCAAATTTAAGCATTTTTATACGTATCTAATCAATTTATATTCCCGAATTGCTTTCATTTAATTTAATTTAATTTTGTTTCGCTAGAATGAAAAATTTCCAATATCTTAAAACTGCTTTTCCCATGTTTCATTTTTCATTTACATGTCAGGAAGTAGATGATTCGTCAAGAACAATTTCAATAAAGCACCCAATAATCGTTATTTTTCACATGTATGTTGGTTCTGCTTACATTAAGGATAAATTGAACTGTGATTATACAATTATATATGATGCCCAGCCATTTCAAATCAATAAGTTTAATCAGACATTAATGAAAAAGAGCATACAGAGCGCATTGGTACCTGTAATGTATTTCAAATACCTTCATATTAAGCATATGTATATCTTATCTAAATACACGTTACGTCAGCCTAAATAAGCATTGCCAAGTATTACATTTTTAGGCAAACCATACATTTACAAATTTTTGAAAAGTAAAGTTCAAGCAATTTTTTTTTCCTTTTGACTCACCTCAATACTGTCAATACTTTTGTCTTGAGTGTTAGAATTCCAATATCGTAGACCTGTAGGAATTCAATATCCTTGCTTGCTTGAAAATCTTCCAGTCTATCTGCACTGTAGATTTATTGTCTTTTCACTGTTTAGTGGTGCTCGTTAAGTAATACAGCTTTCATCGTGTATTGATCAGGGAAAAATCAATTAACAAAGAAAATGAGAAATGTTTCTTAAATGTAAGATGATAATTATAATTATATTGAATTAATCAACAAATGTATTTATCAAGGAAACAATGCATAGTGTTGATATGAAATTGCATATCCAGTGACAACACAACCAATGAAACTTTACTTTTATAACCAAGATGGTTTTAGTCATGAGAAATATCTATACTGATATTTTTCCCCTTTTAATTACTCCTTTTCAGAACTGCTGATTTTTTGACACCGTGGTTTGCATATATAATGCTCTTACACAATAAGTTATAATCTTTGTTCATTCACTATGCACCACTCTGCTAATGACGACTTTGATAAGTCATTTGAATGATAAATAAACATTCAAATAGAAACTCGTGGAATGTATAACTAATAACGTTATTTCACCCAAAGGAAATATATAAAAATTGTATTTTCTTTCAAAGAAATAAATACAAAAAAATTGTAGTACGTGATATTTAATGAGTTGTTTCTGTCAGAGACGGGCTTTACTTAGACTTTGCATCGTTTTCCATAATAATGAAATAAATGTCATGTATAACTGTCTTATTATTGAATGTCACGAAATGCTCAGATTAAGAATTTCTCAGTTATGTTCGAATACGTTTGTTTCCACCAGAACAACATACAGTATTGTCGCATTTCCACCTGAATGAATTTCTAGTTATTGAAAATATTTCTTCTTTTTTTCTACAAGGAGGAAAATATGTTTATTGGATGCGTTATCTTAATTTACTACATTTTAACCAGTGAAATACTGTAATTTATTTATTGAATAAAAATGATATCCTGTCACAGTGTGAAAGGATATCATTTTGATATCCTTTCACGGTGTGACAAATATTAAAGAAGTGCGGTAAAACTCTCCATATTTCTTTCCATAACGGAGAGTGTTTTAAAAAAATTAATTTGACCTGATATAAGATAGATAGAAGTAAATAAATCATTCTTACAGAAAATGAAACTGCCAAAATTACCAAAATATGTTGCTAAATCCATGTTTTCAGCTCACTTACCTATCAACCGTTCAACTATGACGTCATGTAGCCTATGACTGTATTACAAAAAGACAAAGGAAAAATCAAAGAAAAAATGTAATAAATAGAAAATTTAAATGTTTTGTTGTTGAATATGGAATATTTATACTCGTGAGACAAGATTTTTTTATATTTTCACTCGTGCTTTGCACTCATAAAAATATCAAATATCCTGTCTCACTCTTGAAATAACAAAACATTGAATATCCTCTATTTACACACATATTTATCTGGACACAATTTCTTCCTTGGAGAGATATGTTAAGCGTTTAACAAAAATGTGGAATTTCATGGTTAATCCTTCTCACTTATTTTATATTTGCAAAATTAAATAGCTAATTTATATACGATTTGCAATTAGTTTTTGTCTCGAAATAAATTTCACTGTTCAATGGCCCTGACTAAAGGTCAAAAATTGAAGCGCTTAATGGAACAGGGTGGCATCTCTATCTTAGAAAAACACATTTCGGAATGAGAAGTAAAACAACATACAATCAATTTATCAATCTTCTAGTTTAATGTATTAACACATGCTTTGTTACGTTTGAGTTCACTTAAAAGTCTATTAGATGTAGAAAGAGAACAAGCACATAGTGATATAATTCATAATTTATTCATTCAACATGGGAATTCGGGGAAATCAAAAACCTTTTAAATGTGTCAATGTTCCGAATT